TGTGTAGTGTGTACGTCTGTGTATGTGTAGTGTGTATGTCTGTGTATGTATTAGTGTGTACGTCTGTGTATGTGTAGTGTGTACGTCTGTATATGTATGTGTGTAGTATGTACGTCTGTGTATGTGTTAGTGTGTGCGTCTGTGTCTGTTAGTGTGTACGTCTAATTACACAGGGAACTGAGGTACACATATACAGCCAGACTGACTTCAATTCTACTTGACTGACTTCAATTCTACCTCATTGACTTAACTTCTCCCTGACTCACATCAATTCTCTCGGACTGACTTCAATTCCGTCTCACTGACCTCACTACTAACTTTAATTCTCCCTAATGGACTTCACTGCTAACGTCAATTTCTCATATCTGACATTTTTGCCTCACTGACTTCACTACTGACTTCAAACTAGCCTGACTGACTTCAATTTTTGCATCACTCGCCTCAGCAGGTCTCTCTCGCACAGCCCCGGACCGAGAGATTAGAGGCGTGACCTTTGAACTAATTCCTAGTGATCCAGGTAATATGCAAATTAGGGGGAATAAGCACACCTGGAATCCCTAGAAACCGCGCTGGTGATATCTAGAAAACATGGTGAGGGAAATTTAGAAACCGGAGAGAGAAAAAATTAACAAAATATCCCTAAAAAATTTCCCAAAGCAAAAAATTATACCTAATAATTTCCCAATGGACAAAATCCTAATGGGGGAAAAAATCACCAATGGACAAAACTAACCCAAGTTTTCCCCCAAAGCCTTCCAACACCCCCTATATAAATGTGGTCAGGCAGATCATTTCCAACACTTCATCAGTAGCTGCCAACATTACCAACATACAAGCACCCACACTCCCTCCTAGACTGACTGGGTCGATGTGAACCGTACTGTAGTATGTTGTGTTCCAATGCTGTTTTAAAATCATGTTAACTCTCTTAAAATCTATTCTAATATGGCAAAATACTCCTCCATACTTAACACCTTTTCTAATATAGCAAAATGTTCCTCTATACACCACGTAACATCCGAAATCCTTTTCTATTATGGCAAAATGTTCCTCTATACACCACGTCGCTACTTAGGATTCAAAACCTTTTCTAATATGGCAAAATGTTCCTCTCCATACCAACGTAGGATTCAAAACCTTTTCTAATATGGCAAAATGTTCCTCTCCATACCAACGTAGGATTCAAAACCTTTTCTAATATGGCAAAATGTTCCTAGACATAATTTAACACTATCTCCTTGTAGCGAGCGAACACAAAAAGACCTTGTGAGTGAAAATTAATGAGACCAGAGGAACTGAATCTTTATATAAGCATAAGTGTTCCACATATTAAGAGGTTAGTAGACGATTTCACTTTGTTTCGTACTAATTCATTATTATTTCGTGTTTAAAATAGGCCATTTCAATATCTTTCGTATTTAAATCGGGTATTTCAGTAACCTTCGTCTTTAAAATCGGGTACTTCACTATATTTCGTGTTTAAAATCGGATATTTCACTATTTTTCGTATTTAAAATCGGGCACTTCACCATTTTTCGTAATAAAATCGGATATTTCACTATATCGTAATAAAATCGGGTATCTCACTATCTTTCGCATTCTTAAGCTATTAATCGTAATCTTATTCTATTATTCGCATTTTAAATCGTGAATCTGACTAAGCCTTTCACTTTCAACACCATCGTAGCATTTTAAGCTTAATTTTTGGCTTATCCATCAAATTTTAAGCTTATTTTTGCATATCCATCTTATTTTAAGCTTATTTTTGCCTATCCACCGTATTTTCAGCTTATGTTTTGTCTATCCGTCGTATTTTCTGCTTATTTTTTTGTATATCTCGAATTTTAAGCTGATTTTTTTGCCTATCCTTCGTATTTTCAGCTTGAATTTTGACCTCATCCCAATTTAAATCCAACACTTGACCAATTTTTCGCATTTCAAACCTGTTTCTTCATTAAGCTTTCAAACCACGATACTCCCTTATGCTTTTCAAACCACGATACTCCATTATGCTTTTCAAACCACGATTCTCCATTAAGCTTTTCAAACCTATTCGACTATCTACCACATTAAACCATTCCCTCATGTTAGAACTAAACCTAAAACGCTTCATAATTTACAAGTTATTTCATCAATGTCAACTTAAACCAATTGATAGTACACTCAACCTTAGCCAAAGTTAAACCAATTGACAGTACACACTCAATAGCCAAACTTAAACCAATTGAAAACAAAACCAATTGACAGTAAAACTTAACCCAACCATTATAAAAAAAAATTAGAATGTTCTCACTAAATCAGAATTTTGTGTCATGAAATAAATAATATGTGAGCTTTCGTCTAAATATTTCAGGGGGTTTCTAAATTTGGCTCTGAATTGAAGGTGGATAGTTATATGGATAGATGAATAGACGGTATCCATTTCCGTATCCACTCCAGAAATGAGACTCAATGGATTTAGACGGATAGATGAATTGGTGGATAGATGGATGGATGATTGGATAGACGGTATCAATTTCCATATCCACTCCAAAAACTTGATGGATAGTTCCTTCCCAGAAACGAAACTCAATAGTTAGACGGATTGGTGGATACTGATGGAACCTCAATATTTATCTTCTTTAGACACGTACCTCAACGGACAGACGGACGTGTGGATAGATGGATAGATGAATAGACGAATAATACTCTGTCCACCACAGAAGCGAATCTTGACAGACATGGATGATTGGATAAATGGATGGATGGGCGGACGGAATCCTTGTCTATATCCATCCTTGACGCGCAACTTGACGAACGGATAGACAGAGAGGTGGATAGATGGACGGAATTCCTTACTATATTCTCCTTAGAAACTGAAACTCGGGACAGACAGAAAGACAGACAGAGAGTATTCATTTTTATATCCGCCCCAGACGCACAATTAAAAGGACAGACAGACAGACAGACACAGACAAACAGACTCCCATTATTATATACCTACAGCAATTTCGTTATATGGGGGACTAAACAAAAATCACACAATTTCGTTAAACAGGGAATGAGATATTACATTATATTCGTTAAATGGGAAATAAAACGTTAAAAAATATCCCACTTTCGTTAATCAGGGAAAAATAAATACCCCACATTCCGTTTAACGATGACTGGAATTATAAAACCACATTGTTAAACGGAGAATAACACCAAAACACATCCGCAGCAATTTCGTTAAACGGGGCATCAATATAAACCCATCCAATTCTCGCTAAACGGTGACTAGAATAATAAAACAATATATTAAACGTTTAATAAAACTAAACCCCATCTAGAATTTTGTTAAACCAGGCATAAACACCCCCCCTCTCTCCCTCCGCCCCAATTTCGCTAAACGGGGCCCATCAATACGAGAACACATCCAATTTTCGCTAGACTTGGGGAACACCAGAACGACGAACTGCACAACACTACCATAAAGAAAAGCTCAGGCTGTTATCTGGCTAAAGGAAACAAAATAAATAAACTTGAATCAGCTTTTGTGACCGGCTTGGCTAAGTTAGGTTAGCTTTCAACTGCCAATTCAATTAGAAACAATCAGGGGCACACATGCCATCACCACGACAATGGTTCTAGCACTTTCTCCCATCCTGCTATCACAGGCTCTTAAGTAAGAATGGGGAGGGGGCTGTTAGCATGGAGAGTGGTTTAAGAATGGGGAGGGGGCTGTTAGCATGGAGAGTGGCTTAAGAATGGGGAGGGGGCTGTTAGCAGGGGTGTTGCATGAGAGTGGTTTAAGAATGATAATAATAGAACGGGAGAGTGGCTTAAGAACGGGGAGGTCAATAGCATGAGAGTGGCTTAAGAATGGGAGGGGTCAATAGCACAGAGAGTGGCTTGAATGGGATAATAATAGTTGTTTTGATGGCTTAGAATGTGGAGGTTGTTAGCACGAGAGTGGCTTACGACGGGGGAGGGGCCATATACGGAGAGTGGCTTGATGATTTAAGGGGGTTGTTACATGAGGGAGCGGTTTAAGAATTGTGGAGGAATAAGAAAGGAGTGTGGCTTAAAGGAATGAGTGGGCTGTTATTTATGTGGCTTAAGACCAGAGGGCTATTTAGCATGAGTGTATTGAATGGGGCTGTTAGCATGGAGAGTGGTTTAAGAATGGGGAGGGGGACTGGTAGCATGAGGTGAACTGCTAGTATGGGTGTGTCTCCAATAAGAATGGGGAGAACTGGTAGGATGGGGCATCAGTCGAGTAAGAATGGGCCTAACTGTTCGAATGGGGTATAAATCTTTGAGTAAGAATGGAAAGACCTCCTACCATGGGGGTGACTCCAGGAAGAATGGGGAGGAACACATCACCCATTAGTTAATTTAAGTTAACGACCCATCTTCATGTACAGAACTATTACTAACTTACAATACAACTTTAAAATCCGAAGGGGGGTTTCGATCCATATGGGAGGGAGGTAGGAGGAGGTATTGTGGAGGTAGTCTCTCTTTGTTAAATATAACCGAAGGAAAAACCCCTATGTTATAACCCCTTAAAACCAAATTGTAAAAAAACCTTAAAATGTAATGGATACGAACCAATTACCAAGGGGTGTGACTTGTATTATATAACCTATTATTTTCACGAATAGTTGACGATAAAGACGCCTGGCACAAGTAAGGTAAAAATGAGAGTAATAATCCACTCTATATACCTCTCCATAAGGTCTTTTTTCCCGTGGTACCTTATCTGTAATACATATAGGTATATATTACACAAGTCTCCATGCATGTAACTTAGAGCTATCAATTCCAGACGTTAAAAGTTCCAACTATCTAGAAATATTTGAAAGCCTACAGGCAAACATATATCAATGAAAAAGCACAAAACCTCTTAAAGGCTTTAAAAGATAAACTGAATCCTAACACAAACGCATCACAGAAAACACAGACCAGAACTCTAACAATAAGCACAAGCCTTCATGCCACAGTTTGCCACACGTTTAACATGCCGAGGACCGTACCTTGTGTAGCCGGCAGTGTACACAGCTCCTGCCTGGCGATGTCTTGTCTGCTGAGGTTAAGGAGAGTTGTGTTTAAAACTTCTTGGGTCTCTTGCCTCCTCGTGCAGGGCTTGGTCATCCTCCCGTGGCCGCTCGTGTGTGTGCCGGCTTCAGATGACGTGTCCTCGCCGCTACACGGAGAGCGCGAGTGGTGGTGAGGGTGCGAGGGGTGGTGGTGGTGGAGGTACGGTTGAAAGTATTAGTGGTGGTGTTGGTGAGGGCAGGAATATTTGTGAAGGAGGGAGTGGTTGAAAGGATGTTGGAGAAGGATGGATCGGTGGTGGTGATGGAGAAGGCTGTGGTGTCGGTGGTAGTGGAGAGGGCTGTGGTGTCGGTGGTAGTGGAGAGGGCTGTGGTGTCGGTGGTGGTGAAGAGGGCTGTGGTATGGTGGAGAAAGGCGTGCAAACCCCGTAGGCTGTTCACCACCACCACCACCCTCCAGGCACTCGGTGAAGTCAGCCACCACCACTGCCTCACATACGTGGCCATTTCGAATACAACTTAAGCCACACAAGTCCGGGTAGTTCAGTGTTGGTCGGGTAGCGTAAAATTCGCAAAATGCTGAATAACAGATCAGAAAACAGTTATTCAGCAACAAGACACAAGCTCAGTTCTCTACTCGTGACTAAAAACATCCAAAATTGCAGCATTCTAAACGCTTATGGTAAGTTGTTGGGCAGTAACTTAATATAACTCAAGTGATATAAGGCAACTTAAGACATATATCTCCTGAAAGACAAAAATAAAAGTTACTTAAGTGAGCAAACAAACAACTGGATGAACTTCTCACACAACAAGTGAAGCAATAAACTGTCTTAATGAGTGGGAGGTTGAGAGAAATAGCTCGTGAACAAAACAGGTGTGTAAATGGCCCTACAGGTACACAAACATGCTCTGGCTAGAAAGTATAGATTTTTAGCAATTAGAATACTGCAATGAAGCAACCTGCATTCCTGCTCGCAATATAACGTTAAAGTTTACAAAGATGAAAAACACATAACAAAACATGGAGCCTACAGTGGCACTCCTAGAGCTTCGCTTCTAACGTACACGAGGTTTAAACTCACTATTTTCATCAACTTGACGAGTTTTTGGACTTAGCCAACGAGGAAGTTGCGGGTCGCGAGTGATGCACCAGGGGAGGGAGTGAACGCCCTCCCACCACGACGTCCGCATCTAGACTGACTTGGGGTCGCTTTTGAACTGCGGGCTCCG